AGACAGACAGAACTTTCGGAAAGGGAGCTCATTTGTAATTAGAAAAGGGAAACATGCAAAGAACACTTGCCACACCTTGGTGTTTGGATTGATTGAACTTCAGATTAAGATTCTGACGCTCCAAACACGGGCACCCCTAAATTAAACGCTGGCCACTGACTTTATGGTCACATATGTGCTGTTTCAGAACTAATTATCTACCCTGATATGGATAAGAAATTACATATTCAAGGACAGCAGCAGCCACAAACTGAACCAAGTGTGGAGACACGCCAAAAATTTGTTTGTAATTAACAGCGCAGTTATCATTATTTTTTGACGGGGAACATCAAACCGCCCATAAGTCACCAGAACACGGAGCTAGACCCATCTCTTAAGAGAGGAATCTGATTTCAAAACTCCATAACAGAAGCATGCCAGCTGGATCAACCAAAATGACACGACTGTCTTGCTTATTTCTCAAGGCAACAAGTTTGCAAAACGATTCTCCTAGCAGTGCTTATTGACACTAACATTTAAAAATATTTTTGTTATTTTTACTTATCCTGCACGTGCAGGTGGGAATCCGATGCAAGTATAGCTGAAACCCATTCTCCAGAAGCTTTTCAATCTTCCAGGAACTGCAACTGGTGTAACGTTTACTCAGTACAAGCTAACTTTGAGGTTTTATGTTGTTATTGAAATCAGAACAAGATGTGAGCCGTTAATGGAACCTTTTGTGTGGCGTTGGCTCCCCGAATACTAGAATTCATGGCATTTCAACATTTTATTCGTACAATTTGCAAGTTAACCAAAAATTTGGTTGGATGCAGAAAGTTTGCTAATTTTGCCAAAGTCATCAGTGGTTTTGGTACATCCCATGTAAGACCTAGTTTCGCCCTATTTCGGATTAACATTTCGAATAACAATTGCAAGTCATCTACATTGAATGTGAAAGTGTTCCCGATTAGAATCTTGCTTCTCCTCCGGCTGGTATTGTGACACTGTGGTGCAAAAATCTAAATTTGAGGTTTCTTCGTGGATTCGGAACGCATAAAAACCCTGTGTTTAACCGGAACTGTAAAATTATCGTCACGAATAACAATGTAAATGATGACAAAAAGTAAAACTGTTCATTGTGTTGAGTTTAACAATTTTGTGAGAATCAGAATCCGACTGTGTGCAACCTACCAGGACAGATGTTGCGTGTGTCAACCCAAAACTAAACTGAAGTTTTGTACCCATAGTGCATCAGGCGAGACAAAGCGGGCTTTGTAGTAGTTCTTAAGTATTAGGATACTACACGTGATATTTGCTGCATAACTAACAAATAACCAGCGTGTTTATGTTTGCGGCATTTTAGCTGTACGTTTAGATGACACGGTAAAGCCCAGGTACGACAAAAGCCAGAAGAGGCTGGATGCTCTTGGAACATGGGATTTCGTAGCTATTGTACGCGAGAAAATAAACCGTCGACTGACACAGAACACTTTTAAACGAGAAAACCAAACGTACACAAAAAGTGTCAGTACAGCTTAGCTTGGAACACAAGATTGCTAGCTTGACCACAACGCGCAGAAAAACCAAAGCAAATCACCTCTGTGTTATTACATATTATGAATTTTCTTCAAAAAGTATGTCTGCTGTATTATCCTAATGTACATGTTACAGTGTACAGCTTAACTTTTAGATGGGCCCCGATTTGTTTAGTTAAAGCCAAATCAGAAACAGGTATCCTCTAACTCCGCTCATTTCAGATGCAAAATATGTTACCGTGCAGTCAATGGCGGCAGGTCTCGGTTAATTAGCTAATTAGACCCCTATATAACGATAAAATGACTGCCTAAAGTGTAAGCAAAAGTTAGCAAAATATACCTTTTACATAAGGTGTTATGGACATACCTCTTCTTTATTTGACACCACAACATCTTTGTTTGATATACTTGACCCTTTGTGGCACTTGTAAACTGTTTTCACCATCATCTTCTTTTTCCCTGTTAATATCAGCCACGATACTGTACAGATTGCTTTAGTGAACTACAAAACAAGCCTATTCTTCTCGGGCTCAGTTAGACTTTGCAACTTTTGCTGAGTGACTGTTGTAATTGTCGGTTGGATATCATTGGCCGGCACAACAAGAACAGAAATTTTAGCTGAAACCACCAAACTTATCCATTCACATCTGTGGGTTAATATCGCCATTGCTGAGGCTTGCAATACCAGAAAAGTAGAACCTTCTCTTCTTATTGTGGTGTCTCAACGGAATACGAGCCTGCGAAAGTTTCCGTTGTAAACTGCAAGGCCACTTTTTTGTATTGTTTACCTAGTGGCATTATATCTGACCCATAGCTTCGTCTACTGTGAGAACAGAATATGAAGCACACCGGCAGCTAGATCAAATACACTTTAAAGTTAGCAGCCTGATTCGTGCATTGTTTGCTGTTTAATTGAGTCATGAGTTCTCCCATTCGTAAGCACTCATGTTGGAAAACACTCGGTCCATATCTCTAGCTTTGATACTTCCCAAACGCTCCGTTTCGCTGCCTTTTGATACGCTCATTTTCCTACCTACGCTGTCCACTTCAGTTACTCCGGCGACCCTTCAGCCCGGTGCACTGTCCACTTTTTGCAAGTTTCTAAACCATAACCCTTGTTTGTCCAATTTAAGTCCTTCTTCTTCATCTGATCTAAGCCCATCTTTCCTTAAAAACGAAGTTAATAGAATCTCTTCCAACAAAATACATTCCTTGTTCTTGTTACAGTTTATCTGTGCAAAACTTATATACAGTCTAGTTTTGGTTTCCAAAAAACACCAATCCAGAGCAGCTTTCGTGAACCCGCGTCATCTGTGGCCTAGATATAATATCAGATCAACCGTCAATGGCCGATTTTAAAATACTGCGGTGTGCTCCATATTACAATGCGGGCCTAAAACCTTGCTGGTGCGTGTCGGGGTGGTCGAAAGACTTTCAGTTTCATTTATCTTTCCTATGTAAAGTCATTAGGACAGTCATCGATTAGCCGCTTCTTGCCTTTATCACTCTCAGAGAGTTGAATACATTCCGTAGAACAGTTCCTTCCAGCCGAGCTAACATCTATCCACCTAAACTTCGCTCCACACTGACAACACAAGACTTAAATAATTACAAGGGAAGCAAGTCTGTTTTTCTCAGACTAATAACCATTCTCACTAGGTCACCTAACGGCACGGATGTTCTCTTAATTTCTGAACCGAAACCCTTAACATGTGGATTTGCCAAACCTGAGCGCGGAAAGAATATCCCCCGAAGCATGTATAAGTGATGTCGACTTTCCAATCTAGTTCACTGGAAATCACAAGAAAGCACCCAGTACTGCGTCTGAGCATCTAGCATCAATACACATTTTGACCTAAAATGATAATATCATTAGACAGCGAATCATCAAACGTGATGTTTCCAAAATCTTATGTGAACTAGCCTGCAGGAGCCTGAACTGTTAGACTTGAGGTGAAGGTGTTACATACACTACTCTCTTCCACACTGACTCACCAATATCTGCTCTTCAACAGCGCAAAACGCTCAGTTGATACGGGTGAAACCTTGCTCTGTGATGTCAGTGCTAAAATAGAGCCATATTTGTCTGAAACATAAGGCGCGCCATAAGCCATTCTGAAATTATATTTATCCTATTCTTAGAAAACGTTAAGCGCTTTCATTGGGAACCAGATAGCTAATTACGTATGGAAAAATGCAAAGTTTCACATTTACACACCATTAGTACCACAACTGATAAGTACTCACTGGCCCATAGGTAATTTTGAAAGCATTTATGGATTACTCTTCATATTCCCGTGCGAGGTTATAAGCGAGATGTTCAAATCTTACCTTCAGTGCATCTGAAAACTAAACGCAATCATGAATTGTCTTGGCCGGCCGTATTTCGATCGTCCATCTGGCGCGACAAACAATAGTACTTTTAAAATCCTGCCAACGCACGCAGAGCATACACGCTTTTGGTGGATTCAAACAAACACATCAACTAACACCGGATTCGCCATTCAGTACCTTCACGGCAATAATAGTGAGCACTCATGGTTCCAATACTGAAAAACGCTGAATTTTGTGTGATGATCTTACAGGAATATATGTTTGCTTGCTTAACTGGAAACAGTGAGAATGTGGGAGCATGAGGCTCATGGGTTCGAACCGGAGAGAGTTCCATACTACTCGCAATTAACGGTTGAATGACCAAGAATTATCAGTCCAGGAAGAATTCAAGCTGCGGTTTCGCCAGCTTGAGACCCAAATCAAAAATACCATTTGCAAGGTGACCCTCGTCCGATATGTGATATGTTCCCGGGGAACATTGAGTGAAGAAAAACTCTTACTTTAATACGTAGCATTCCTAATTTCACATGCATCATAATGTGCCTTGATTTCGAAATCTGTCTTGATCATCCTTCATTCGAATTTTTTGCGCGCACTAAATTTTGGAGTTGCACCCGCGTGACTCGGAAAAATGTGGGGCTGCCATCGGATATATTTGTTGCCAAATTGTGGCCTGTAGGATTAGCCTTCAGGGTTATCCTTGAAAGTAGTTAGGGAGGTGATAAAAATAGTTGAAGATAATCATGTTGCATTTGTGTCCGCCGCGGGCAAAGATGTACAAATGCTATCTATAGTTATGGGTGGCTGCAATACAAATCCAGCAGACCAGCCATATATAAACACAAAACGAAGGTCGAAAAATCAGAAAAAGCTGATATCTTGAGCGAATTTTCTAATGATGAACAATAAACGAAACACTAACTGCGCTTTACGGTTTTGTGTGAGGAGGGATGGTCGCCATTTAGCTGTGAACTCTTACCATTCTGTCCATAATCACAAGGTGACAAGTTTACGTGCGTCCGACTGCTGACCGGAGAGTAGTTGGGTACCTAAAGGACTATGCAGGCAATTGGAACAACGTTGAGTGAAGTGCTGCAGTTGGTAGCCGATGGGTTGTTTGCGCTTCTCACCACTATGACCATTTACAACTACTGTTGGATGTTTTGACCGGCATTGTTGAGTAAGCGATAGATACTTTGTTTTCGTTGCAACAGGTCCTGGTGAAGGTCCACGAGTTCTGACATGTATTTGTTTGCAGCTGGTGGAAGAACGCTACAGCCACATGCCTCGCCAGTCTGCAGGGGGTGGCGATGTTATGAAGGTCGTCGGAGGTCCTAAAGGTCTATGAAAGGCATACGACCAACCGGCTTGAGTAGGCCTTTTCAAAGAACCACTGTGTGGAACGTAGACAGAAGCTCTATACTTCACTGGTCAGAGGTGCATGGATAGCAGTCGTCCGGTCGTGTACGCCTTTGCAGAAAGCGAGTGGTGTACTCCTGTACGAATATTGTTCAGATCGTGCAGACAGAATGTTGGTGGCCGGTATCGGGAAACGGCGCTCGTAGACGGCGCATGGGTAGACGGTTAGAGTTACTTGACGCTGTTTAGTCATATTCCTCCATTTTCACATTTGAAAAGGTATATGGAAGCACATTCATATCACGTAACATTCGCTTCTTTCATTTATGGGTACCCTATGCCGGTATGTGGCACACTATACGTGTTGCTCGTATAGGCAAGGACGCACGGTGATTTCTCGCTTCATAACATTACCAGCATGCACATTTTCCCACGGCCTGTCAGAACTGAGTCGTGCGGACCCAATGTTTATCTCTTATCCCACGGCCCACTGGTCATCTGCCACCGATACATGTGACGGGATGGGGTGCTTTGTTTTGGTAGTGTTCCTAACGACTTTCTTAAAAAAGTGCCATCGGTCGCTTGAAAAAGCGGCCATTAACCAGGGGATCTCAAGCGAGCCATAGAGAGTATCCCGGCAAGTCGAGTTGGTCGTGCAGGAATACGAAATGCATATGTCCTATCACCGGGACTAAACACAAAAATTGGAGAGTGAAGGCTGCATTCTAATCGTGGTCCATTGAATGACAACGTGTGTATCCTCACGTTATTTGCATTTGGGGGAAAGCCAGGGAGGCTGCAATATCAATGTTTGCAACTAACAGGGCAAGACAGTTCCGCGATAACCGACTCACAGTTTCTCCTGCAAACCTGCAAGCGCACCCAGGCGGCCGACACCGAAGCCGGTAAATGCTCATGCCAGGTAAAATGGTCCCCTTGTGTTCATCTGCCATTACCTATCGATAGAATGCACAAAAACCTCACCAATTTGCAGAAAAAACTGTTGGGGATATCAATATCCCCAAAAACTTTGTATTTTTATGTGTGCTAACGAACTTCCGGCATCTTTCAAGGTCGAAGTATGAATGTATATGCATTGTCATTTTCCTACTATCGCCTGGTGATAGCGTGTCGTTGGATCGTCATAGTTTTCGTCCGAGGTTTTTCGCCTTCACACTGTCCGCCGTGCTAGGAGTCTGGATCAAGCAACGTAGCTGGGGATAGAATATTGTCACAGTGCGCATATCTTGTTGTTTGCTCGCTGCGTGATCGAACACACAGCTGCCGGAACCCCGAGATTTTACAAACATTTTTAAGCGCAGGATTCTCCGTGTGCCAATCTCGCTGCACTGGCCTGTAGCCGGTAACTGGAAATATTGGGTTTCAAAAAGATTGACGGTCTCAGGACGAAGAAGTCTGATTTTGCGGCCTTTGTATCTTGCGCACTTGCCAGTGATCGCATATCTTCACACACTGTTGCTATAATGAAACTTGCCCGCCTTTCGGTAGGGATCTGCGTGCTTTTCCCTAGTATAGGCTGCCGTGACTCATCATTGTAATGGTCTATCTCCTGGCCCCTTTAGCAGCCGCATAAACGCGATTGCAATGCTGTTTACTTGTACCAAAGCACAGACGTTCAGCACAGCTTTTCCCGGAAATCTGCGAACGGCCACATTTTTTACTCCAGCGTGAATTAATCTGAAAACCATTAGTATCTCGTATATTAGCCAATCCCCTAGAGGCTATTTACGGACAAGAAATAATGATGACCTTCCTGAAAATGATGACGCTCGGGCCATCTACCCAACTGCCTCGGGGACTTTAACATGGTATTCGAACTTGTGCTCCACTGTAACCCCCAGATAGAAAGCCATTGCATTGGGTTAAACCATATCAGGAAATCTAGCGGATAGCGGGCACACTTTGGCATCATGGCCAGGTCATTACCTCAACAAAGTAACTGACACACTTTAATCTAACTGGGCTATTCATTCCTTTGATTCTAGCTTCCTTTTCGATACTGAGGCAATGGAAACTTATTTGAATTCTAGTATGTTTGTTCGTTTTTCCTCAAGGCCTCAATACTCAGCAGACATGAGATACAACAGAAGAGACTGTGATTGAGTACATGGGCTTGACTTCGTGTAGACAATAGCCTGCAATAGTCGCACCCAAGGTGCTCACCTTGTAAGGTAGTTAATGGAATCAGTTACATCAACCACACCGGTATCATGATAAACCATCTAATTCCTCCTGTTCATCCCAGGCTGTCAACAGATCACTGAGCACCGCGCACCAAGGAAGTTGTGCAAGCGAATGCCAGGGCATGTCTAATCACCAAAACGACCAACAAAATTCAACTTTTCATGTGAACTAACCTTTGTTGATGGGTTGTTGATGTTGTAATGGGCGCCTGTTTATCTTTTGTTTAGCTCTCTGCTAGGATTGACTTAATTTGCGTTTCACAAGATGACTGGGCTTTGTGGACTCTTAGCCGCGTGTCAGCGGGGCAGATGAGCCGCACCCATGTGACTGTATTGCACGGGCGCAGAAAGACTCGTCGTTCAAGTATACTAAAGGCTTAAGTATTTTTTTCGTTTCAGAAGAGCTTGGCAAACAATCGGTAGTTTTTACTTGGGCAACGTTTCGCATATGACACAAAAGCTTCATCAGGCCAAGTGAACAGGTCACCAAATTGGCCAGGTTATAAGACAGACAGGGAAAATAATCAGTAAGTCCTCTTCAAACTAGATCAGCGTTGAGTGTCGATTAACGGCTCTCGTTGGCTAGTGTGGGTGCCAAAATCTTCAACTGATGGGTTGGAGGGATTCCAAAGTAGTTCCGGTCGCTTTTCGTTCCCTAATCTTTCACTTCAGGGTGCTTCGCTTGATGATTCACCTCGGGTGCCGCTGTTAGATTTTTCCTGGTCTTTGTGGGGTTGTGAGTGCTACGACAATTTAGTTTGACGGGGGTGAAGTCAAG